AGTAACCTATAATTATATTTGTGTATAATAAAGAATTTTAACTATGTAACTAAAACTAAAAATAATGGACCTAAATCAGGCCCATCGTCACGATTTTGTGATTGGTGCGACCAACTTTGTTGGTTTGAGCCAGAATCTAGGGGGGTACGAGGGCATGCTCGCCGGAAAATTTTTTATTCTAGGATGCTCTCAGGGGCGTTTTCCCGTATATTTGGCACAGTTTACAGCCTGCCGCTAGTACATGTTATAGTAATATATGTCAACGATTTTTTTACATTTTTAAGTGCGCCGTAAGTTTTTAGGGTGAAATTTAAGGTTCGCATAACGGACGGACAGGTGTAAATAAAAATGAATACAGTACATGTAATTGATATTTGGCAAATGAAAAATAAACAATAACTGATGTTATAATTCTTTAGATGCATTTTTATCTGATAATTATAAATAAACAAATACAAGAAATATTACAGCTACGTGGATTATTGTTTAACATAAATCACACAATGGTATAGGCTTAAATATCAATCGATGACATGATGGAAGAATAGTACATTACGAGTCACTAATAACCACTTTCTGTTTAGCAGTAACTTGTATTTTGTTCACAATAATCTTACACAACACAGAGTTTCATTTTATGTAAATTTTCCAAAAACACATCGCCATCGTTCTCTGGTGGTAATGAACTCATCGGCAATAACATGTTAGTTAAGTTAAGTGAATCTGTCATGTACTTATGAATATGTAACACCATTAGATTGTTCAAACGTACTTGAGACATTGTCGATCTCAGGTATGTCATTTTTCTTCTGAGCGCCAAGAATGTCCTTTCACTTGTAGCATTAGTAGCAGGCATTTCTAACAAAATCTTAAACAACACAACGACCTCAGAGAACAGTGCTCGTTTTAGCACTGACTGTTCTGACACAAATTTCAAAACGTCAGGTAGAGTAACAGTACTATTTTCTGATTTGTCAAAATGTGAACGTAGCAGGTAAGGCCTTAGCTGCACCTCTAAGATGTCTCGGTTAATGTCGTTACCATAGGAATTTCAAACAAAACCAAGTTTTCTAGTGTACTCGGTCTTCAAAGGTTGTGCGACCTTAGTACGTAAATCCTCCACGTTCTGAAATACGGGATATCCCGGTTGGTCAAATCTCTCTTTAACACTGGCCATGGCAAGATCGATTGCAGGCCAGAACACGGTTGCCGTATACAATCAATAAAATGTTATCAAGTTCTCGGAGAATTCAGGCATACTAGTACCTGGTCAATTAACAGTGTCCAGTTGTTTCTTCACGTCAAGTTTGTATATTACCGCGCATTGCATAAGGGGCCAGTCAAGTGTCAAATTGCTTATCAGCGATGCGTGTTTTTTTGTTTTGTTTTTTGTTTTGTTTTTTTTACTCATTTTTGGCCAAAATATTGGTCCGGCCATGGCCGGACCAGCCGGACCATCGACGACGGCCTTGTAAATAGTCTTGGTTTTGTCTTACTTTACGATATTAAAGTAAAATAGATTGATGTTTGTTATTATAAATGATCAAGCAGAATATAACAGGGAACATATATCTGTATTAACCCACATTGTTTGATATAAAATGAGAGTGATTGATGAGTAAGATATTATATAATAGAGAAGATAGTAACATCTGCTATCTTATATTATATTCACATATCTGTTTCAATGTTTCACAGAAAAACAAAATGTAACAGCAGATTCGAGACTGTATTTATACTCACAGGAATTTATCAGTGTTTTATCCTAAATCCACTAAATTTCTTAAATGAACTTGTCCAGCTTTTTCAATGATAGGTATGTCATGATCTTTACACTGTGTTGTTGGCAAAATAAAGCTTTTCAGATTCAGTATTAAGCAATAAAGTATAAACTAACATTTACCTGTCAGTGGCATCAACTGACTACCCATGCAACCAGTGTAGACCATGTTCAACTGACACATCTGTGCTGGCTGAGCAGGGTCTGCATTGTTCACTATCTACTGACTTGGTTTTGTGTTGTTTTTCTCTAAAATGGACAAGTCTATTTAAGATATCTAACATGGTAAGGATTAAAGCATTGACTGTGGTTTTGAGGGCTCAAATATTATACTGTCACACAATAATGCTGACTTGGAACTATGGGCTGATATATCTGACTTCAGGTTCATACTCCTCGAAGACATTTTATTCCTGATAAAAGATAATATATTAAGATAGCAGTTGATTTGTATGTTATCAAAGAAATCTTTTCAAAACATTAAATCTTAGTGTTTGACATAAAATTTCATTTCATATATTTTCATCTCAAAAATGTTATGCATTTATATGGCTGTGCTGTCTCAAGGTTAAGGTCACTCTTAAAGGTCAAATGTCAGACAATTTTGTGTCCACTCTATAGATTTGATACTTTTGGAAGGACTGTTTTCAACTTTTACTTAAATGTAAACCTTTGACAGAAATGATAAACAGACCTGTACAAATCCTGTGTTAAAGATATGATGTGTGTATTGGTCATTTCTGTGACAGCTCTAGTTTAAATTGTAATTAAAGGCCGCCTGTAAACAGAGGCAACTATGATGATGGTTAATGATACTTGTATGAAATGATGTTGATAAAATTTTTCCATTTAACAGTAAGGATGTGAGACTACCAGTACAGTTACAGAGAGCAATGGCTGCTGAGGCAGAAGCTGCACGTGAAGCTAGAGCCAAGGTTTGTATTTAGATAGTTTACATGTTTTTAAAAGGTACATCTATGGCAGAATTGTTGACTTCAACAGCTGCTTGTTTAAATTTCCACCAGGGACTTTGGATTCTTGCATGTGAGGAAGCTATCCAGCTTAGGTTATAGATGGTCAGTGGTTCTACTCAGGTGCTCCCTCTAGCTTGAGGCATGGAGGGGAGAGATCTTTCTCCACCAGTGAAGCTTGAAAGTTGTTATAAATAACTTCTACTATTTATAGTATCCATAGATACAAAGTAATTTTTAATTGTCCACCAATTGTACAATGTATCTCTTATCTGTCAGTAACATTTTAACTTTAAAATTGCTGACAAACCTGTCACAATATAAATTATAATGACCAAAGTCATGGATGAAAGGAATTGAGCAGGAGATTGGCCTATTAGTTGAATTATCTGTCTTCTTATCCAATTATCATGGGTTCTAGCTGTTTTGGTGGTCATGACCATATTAACTAATGATACTTGTATTGGTAACTTCCAGGAACCTGATGCAGAAGTTAAATAAAATTCCTATTCCCCTTTCATGTTAAACAGTAACTATATTAATTCCTGTGACTGTATTTCTGTCTGAAAGTTATCTGTTTCTATCTTAATTTACATTTTTATGTAAAACAATTCAGGTGATAGCAGCAGAGGGTGAACAGAAAGCATCGAGAGCATTAAAGGAAGCTGCTGATGTCATCACAGAATCTCCGGCGGCCATTCAGCTACGTTATCTGCAGACCCTGAACACGATATCCGCAGAGAAAAACTCCACCATCATTTTCCCACTCCCTATTGACGTGTTACAGGGATTTATGAATCCACCGAGGCAGAACACAACGTTTTAGTGGAAGGTTAAACCCTTGTTAAATTGGTATATAATGAATGTATATAAACTGTGACAGCTGGTTCAATGATATATGTGCTCTCTCAGTGTGGCATATTATCTGTTAATATATAATATCATATAGATCTACACATAACATATTGAACATACAAACATTGCCATGTAATATGTCTGTGAACTCTGTTATGATTTATACAACATTATATGTAAGTGTCTTTAATATTTACATTGAAATTTCTCAATGCTTTTGTGATCGCTTTTCGTCCTAAAAATCTTAAAAAAATCTTCTTATATAAACCCAAAATGCTAGAGCTTAGATATTTATCATGAAACATCTTCTAATGGGTGTCTACCAAGTTTGTTCAAATAAAAGCCCATGGTTTAGAATTGACCTTGGTCCAGGGGTTTATATACAGGTAAGCGATTCCAGGGCCATCATGGCCCTATTGTTACAATTTTTTACCACAAAATAGGAGAATAATTTATTTACAGATTTTTTTCTATAGAAAAACTAGAAGTAAACTTTTTTATACCATATTTTAATTCTTAAATTAAAATCAACCCCATACCAAAATGAGGACTTGCTGCCAAACACTACCAGATTTTATGTTCAAATATACACTAAGCTTATAAAAACAAATATTCTTTCTATATAATGGTGCTGAAAACTATAAATATGATAAAATCGTTCTGTCTATTATTATACTAAATTTTTCTTATGTTATTCTATGGAAAACTATATGTAGATCTCTGTTATATCTTTGTAAATATTGGAAAAAAGCATTGTTTCATGTGTGTTCAATTTGAAAACTTTATTTACTGAGATATAAAAATTGTTCAATCTTCTTTGTTTTTGATGTATGTGTAATAAAACAATTTTAGGTTAAAGTTCAATATTTTGAGATTGGCTCTAAATTGTTTGGTCACTGTAGGGAAATACAATGTACAAGAGAACAACAACATTGCATTTTTGCAACTAAATTTCCCCATTGTCTGTAAACTACTGAATTTCTCCATTGTAAGTAAGTTTCTCAAGTTCCCATTGTAAGCTTCTGAATTTTTCTTATTACCGGTAAGCTAATACATTTCATATTATCAGAATTATATTTGTTTTAGCAAGGTTAGTTCTCTATATTTATCACCAACACCATAATAAATCAGTCCTGTAAATTAAGTATCTTCTTGGTTCAGAAATTATGTGTTATAAATCTATATAGATTAATTTATAAAATGAAATAGAGTGAGAAGTAAGTGGTTGTGCAATATAATAATATTATAATTGTTTGAAAAGTTGTGATTACGTCTTTATATATTGAGTTGATTTTTTTTGTTGCTAGACAGATGTTAACTTTAAAGATGACCAGAAAAATACTGAAATGGGATATGTTTTAGAAACTGTTACATACTTTATTAAGAGCTGTTATTTTATGTTATATATGTTTTTTTCTATGTTATATATAGTTTTGTTGATTACAATATATGGTTTGATGTAACTGCAGCTGTTTAACACAGATATAAATTTTTCTAACATTCAGATTGATTTTAAATTTGTGCAAATTTGAATATCTTGATCTAAAAGTAGTAGATTTTGACAGTAATTTAATAGTAATTGCTATTATGCTCCATATTTTTTCAATGCAATATTTGATTTGGTCTATATAAATATCTACATGTATGATGTGGTAAAAATGGTTGATTTCTCTGTAGGGCAACATTGATTGTTGATTTTTATAAGATATTTGTTTTTGTTGAGCAAGTCGGGCAGTAGTTAAGTTTTGCAATGTTAAAGGTGGATAATTCTTAGATGGAAGTTAGATTTTACAGAGAATTTTCAGGTAAATGTTGATGCTTGTCAAGTTTAATATTCTAGTTCAAGGTTTATTTTTGTTAGCTAAAAGTTGATTGTTGATAGGAAAATTTATTTTGTCAGGCAAATGATTATTTCTGTGAAGCAATTGTTGGGTTCTGCAAGGTTGGGTTTTTTTGTTAAGAAAAATATTATTTTGTTGTAAAGACAAGTTATAATAGATTGTTACTGGAGTGCATTCTAAGACTAGGTAAACATCTATCTAGTTTTACTCTATGTGTGCAATATATAGATGGTTATTATATTGATTTGTATCATCATTGTTATTGTATTTATATATTTATCTTTGTTTTTGTTTTCTCTTTTGTGATACTGTTTTGCCTAGAAATGATGAATGGTTTTGTCGAGATGGGAAGACTAGTTTGTTTATCATATTTACTTTTTATTTAGCATGGTAAGGTTAGAGAGGCTAATGAAAGTGTTATTAAAGATCCTGTATGTTTTGTGATTGATATTGTTACTGTCTGTTTACGTATGTATGTAGTTAAAGCTTAATGAGAGTTACCACACTTGCAAAAAATTATATATGTATATAATAATGCAAATAAAACAATTTTCAAACATCGAGGAATATGTAAAATGTGTACTGCAAATATTTGTGCACATTATATTTAATCAATAAATTATATGCATTCATTTCTTATTGGAAAATTTGACTTAGAATTTATACAAAATAAATTTCTAATTACCTCCCTTTATTTACATGAAATGTTTAATTCGGTAATATCTTTATAAATAATGCTTATTGGAACTTACAATATTGACAAATCTTAATTTCAGCATCATATTTATGAAATAAATCCATGAAAAAAAATGTGTTACAGGATCTTTAAGATATATGTTATATGTTTTATACTTCTCTTGTATATTTAAGGATAGAACTATCATAAGTCAATATTTCAACAACATGTGCAACACTCATCATATAAAATCATAGTCTATCACAACTTTCAACTGCTGTTACAAATCATTCATTAAAAAATTACAATTTCCTTACTTTTTGTATGTCAGGAAATTTTAATACATAATTTTTACAGTAAAAACAGTGTATAAAGAATCAAATAAAACTTTTTAGAAATATATTTTATAATAACTTTTTTTATTTAAAAAGAAAGCAAGTAATTTCAATTTTTGAATTTCTTTTTTGTCATGCTTATGCTCTTTCTTAATTGGTTTTCCATATTTTTATAAAATGATTATATTCTAACTTATCTAAGTCTTCCTTAATCTGCCCTTCACTAATTACCTCAAGTTTGGAGACATGCAAGCTGTATAAATTTTGAAACTATTGCCAAAATGTCAATAAATTTGAAGTTTATCAAAGAAATAATGCATCTTTAAAAAATGGTATTTGCTCCCCTGTAATTTATACGTTATTTAATTGGGTCACTTTAAAGGGACTCCACTTATTTGTGGCATGACAGGTCCTATATTTGTGTTACATTTAAGGTAGGTCTGGACCACTAACTTGTGTGCAAATTTTCACATCATTTCCTCTCCTCATTTTTACAGAGTAAACAATTATATAGTGGAAAATGACCTAACAATGAAAAGAGTTGCGATGCAATTTGAGCTAAGAATCACACAAAAATAGATTTTCAATACGATTATAAACATAATATGAGCCGTGTCATGACAAAACCAACATAGTGGGTTTGCGACCAGCATGGATCCAGACAAGCCTGCGCATCCGGACAGTCTGATCAGGATCCATGCTGTTCGCTTACAAACCCTATTACAAGTAGAGAAACTGATAGCATACAGCATGGATCCTGATCAGAGGAGGTAATCAAATGTCTGGTATCTCTCATCAAGGGAATTAACTAGATACTGGTATCTCTCATCAGGGGAGGTAACTAGATTTTTATTTATGATTTCTGGTATCTCTTATCAGGGGAGATAACTACCAGGTAGATTCATTTTAAATAAGTTAAGGGGAGGTAACTAAAGCTATGTTTAAAACAACTAAGGGTAGGTAACTTTAGACTTTCTCATAAGGGGAGATAACTAGAGCTTCATTTAAGATGACTAGCATCGTCCATCATGGAGGGTAACTAAATTGAGTTTTATATGATATATATGCTTTTCTTGCTGCTGTGTTCATTTCATCTCCTATCTATGTACATGTTACAAAATTCTATTTCATACAAAACTGTTATATTGTAGATATTATTATTTATCGGGCAGTGTAATTTAATTGTAATATTTATACATGTTCATTTTGTTATATATTTCATTTTCTTTGATATGGTCTTTATATGGAGTGGAAAAAATAAATGTTCAAACTATTTTCTTTTTGTTAACTTACTCTTGTTACCTTGGTAACCATCCATCATTAAAGCTAGAAATGCATTCTTTGTTATCTGAACATAAATCAACTACAACTTTTACTTCCAGATTTCAATCCAAATTATTTAATATTTTTGATGATCGTTTCAAAAAGATCACAAAGTGAAGTGCATGGATATATTTGAATATTTCCTGACATTAATAACATAAGATCTAGAGCAGAAGATGGGAGATCTATGTACTATGTTAAACCCAGAACTTAGAGGAATCGGAGTAGCATTTGCCACCAGTACCAAGCCAGGCTCGCCGGCCATCCGAGCTGTTTTGACAGACTTTACACTGTTTGAAGTTCAAGTCTTGTATTTTGATTATTAAATCCCTGAAATTTCCTTTGAATGGACTGTCCCAAATCAAAGCAGGGCAAATACATTACTCAAAGCAAGCAGACGAAGGATTACATGCTATGTCTTGGGATACTTTTAAAGATACACCTCCAGATGAGCTAAAATACTTTTAAAAAATCAATCTTCAGAATACTACTATGATTTTAAAAGGTTCAAAATTATTTACATGTTATATCGAATAATGACTGATATTGTAGTAATACATGTATCATCATTACATACATACATGTATTTCTACTGCGTGACTTACGCAGTAAGGACTATTTTTGCATATTTTGACCTCTCTTAGTTTTTTTTGTTATTTACGTTGATTATACGAGTAAGTGCCAATTACATTGTGTAAATAACTTTCAAAATTTTCATGAAAATTAGCATGAATCTGTAGTCATGCTGCTTTAAAAGATACTGTAGATGTAAATGGTCAAAAGATCTTTAAACCTTACGGAAACAATGGGGTTGCACATTCATTGAAAATGTTAAAATGTGGGCTTTTCTCACCTTACTGATTACAGAAAAAGCACACAGAATCTGACAAATGTTATTTTAAAAAGGTTTATTCTTACAATTTCAAACCATAAAATAACATCACAATATCACAGTTTCTCATATTTAAATTACAAAAGTTGTAAAAATATATAAAATGCACGTATAAAAGGTAAGTTCACTGATAGATGTAATGAAAACTCTGATTTAAACTTAAAATTTCATTTGTATACCATAATACGGACACTGAACGTTTTCACATGCCTATCTATATACATTGTCTATCCATATTAATTAAATTTCTTTTTAAAATTGATAGAATGCCTAGTATGGCAGTCATTGATGACGTCATGACGCACGGTACTGCACATTAAGCAATGAAAGAAATTTAGGAGGGGTAAAACCACAAGACTCTCTTCTTGTTCTACTGGCAGTGTTCTTAGATTTAAAGAACATTTACAGTATATTAAAGTTAATAATTTACTCTATTATATACATATATACTGTTTCTATATGAAAAAATATTTTACGATTGTTAATGATCCAGATTTTCTGTCTATATATTCGTATATAAAGAAAATGCGCAAACAATAGATAAATTACTATTTTATAAAGCTCTGTTTATAATACATAAGAAAATTAAGAGAAAATAAAACAGTTATACAAGATTACAAATAACGGAATCACGAAGGGGACATGCACGAAAATATTTGTGTTAAATCGAGGTCTCGAAATGATAAAAATAGTTGTCATGTGTCCCTTCTCTACTTCCGTACAAATACGATGAAATAAATAAATACACTTGTTTCAATACAGGCATCATAAGATAAAAAAAATAAGTTAGGAATAGTAGTTAGACAATATTGCATGACATTGTCATGTTGTTTATATATGTTGGTTATATAAGATGAATCAATAATGGCAGTTCAATAACCCAGGACAGATATTTTAGAGAAGTATGAAGTAAAATATTCTATATTGTCCCTAAAATTGGCATCGTTTTAAACAATGTGACGTCACCGTAGAGTTTCTTCGTTTCTTCTATTTATTAAATCTTTAAAAACAAATATATAAAACTTGAAGGTAATCAACAATAAGTTCAATCTAAAATATCCTTATTATCATATACAACATCTTTGAAAATAAAGGTAACAAATATAACAGTCAAGTAGAGCTATTTTTAGTTCTGCCAGTTATCCCCAGTCTGGATGTATAACAAAGTGACGTGGGGTGGGCTCATGTGGGCGGATATAGTGAGAACTCCAGTTGTTTACGATATTGTCGTCCCGGTACTCGGGTAGATGGTGCCATGTCGTATGCATCCAACGGTTTTCGCGTGTATTTGGTGTAAGTAAACGAACGTATCGGAGGTTTCCGTCACTCATCGTCTCTTTTCGGCGTCTTACGGTTTTCTTCGTTCTACCATAAGAAGGAACACCAGGCTTTGCGCTGAGCAACAGAAAAAGCATAAGTACTGTTACAAAATGAGAATTATATGGCAACAGATTTATACAATGTGAGTTAAAATTGACGTACAATTTACATGATGACATGGTCTATTTTATATGACTGATTCCAAATGAGTATTTTGAAAAACAACAACAAAGAAAGCCGACGTAAGCTTGAAGCAAATCAAAACTTCCAGTAGTAATTTCAGATGTAGAAATCACCATTGTAAGTAAGGACCCACTTTAAAGATCGAAATGGGCAAATTCTTCATTTCTGAAAAAATATTTCAATAGATATAATGGCTTTGTAGGTATTAAAGATATCGAATAATTTCAAATCATGCTCAAAGTTTTGCAAGCATGTTCGTTTCTTCACTACCTTCTTAATATGAAAATGACGAGAAAAACAGTTAACAAGCTCGTATGCTAATTTCAAAATCGCGCCAGTCTTTCCAATTTGATTTTTAACAAAACATAAGAATCACTCAACATTCTACTGATTTAACTTAAAATCTATCTTTATAAGAAATATGTTGGATAAGTTATAAATAATGAAAATCGACTAAAAGCAGATCTTTAACTTTAAGAGGAATATTTGTATGACCATATTTGACTTCAACTGGTATTTGGAGATAACATTTTATTCTACAAATAAGTGTGACTTTTCCACTTTAAACACGTTTAACATATAATAGAGAACACTTTGTCATGTTAGGTCAGTTATAACATTATTTGTTGTCAGTTTTAAAAACGCTGTATTTATTACACAAACGCAGTACAGCTTTAAAAAAACTCAAATTACAAAAATAATAACAAAATTACTCTTCCAGTAAAATTTCTCGTACAGAAATGCGGTGTTCATGCATTTCTGTACGAGGTATACTTACTCTTCTAGCGTATTCAAGACTTCCTTCAGTCGCTTCCTTTGACTATCAACTGTCATCCCCATCAGTTGACCACCAGCTAGTGAGTTGAAAAAGTTCAACGCTACCTGCCGTTCTGAAAACCGGAAATGAGTATAATGTCAATCTTAAAATGCGTCTATATACTCGTACATTATTGTTATTCCGAAGTTCATTTTGAAAATTTCATTGAATATTGTTTTTTTAATCAATGACATCTTTTTAAGATCATATTATAATATTTCTATTAAACGCAAAAACAACATCACACTATCAGACGCACGTCAACGTTATACCAACAACAAAAACAACATCGTTCACAAAACACTACAATAGCAACTTGACACTTATGCTGGTTAAAGTACGTGCCTCATTTTTTTCAATCCATTTTAACAAAGACTGATGGGAGCTAATACAATTTAAATAGTGAAAATGTTGACATTCTTTTAGCACGTTGTATTATATAGAAATCTCTTAATAAATGCAACACTTAATTTTGTATGTTAAAGAAAACAATAAGATTTCTATCACGTAGAAATGGTGGAATGAAAACAATGTATAAACAATTGTTGAATGCTGGACTTATTTTAATATTCTACGTTAAGATTTTAGTACATTAGTAACAAAACTATCAAATATATATTTAATTGAAATGATTTGTCAGTTGTATGTTTGTTATACTAGCAAAACATCAGTTTGTTGTTTTTATTTCTTTAACAAGTTGATCAATCATGCAAAACTAAGATATTATACTGGTACATGAATTCGTATGTATTCAAACAATCTATATGTTAACAACAAAGTTCAAAGCATGATTTACAAGCCTAAACTATACTAAAATTGATAGGTATTTTTATGCTTGCAAGGTTTCCTCTATTTATGTTAATTGAATCATTGTTACAGAAAATAGTGTCTTTGTTTTGGTTTTTTGGTTTTTGCTTAAATTATGTTGCTTTATCCAGTGTAGGATCCTGAAAATGTCGAAGCTGTATAAAACCATAACAATTATAACGAAAGTTTTTTGATTCACTAATTATTAAGGTTAAAGACATCTTTGAAACCGTACATTTACATTAGAATTCCAGATTTGCTACAGCGAGAACAAATTCTAGACAAATGACGTGTTTCGTATTATAAATAGAAAACTTGATATATATATGTTGTGATTATATATTTTAAAACATTGAAGTGCGGGAAAATGGTGCATGGATATATATATATAGATATTGACTAGTTGAGAGAACAAGATGTAGTCAGTATTTTATTAATACATCATACAGATGTTCTTACTATTGTGAACCTACCTTTTTCTGTATCCTTTCCTTTAAACAGTATCATAACATTAAATACACCTATCTAATTTTAACTGATTTATCTTATAATTTAGTTACTTGTAACATTTTTTTGGCTGTTAATTTTTTCCATGTGAAATTTCATTATGGTACTTCGTGGAAAACATTGAATTTTTTTCAAATAGCATTTAATTGTTTACGTTAAACATAAAAAATACCAGTATGAAAATATTACAGAAAAGGAAATCAAGCAACAAAAAGAGACGAGAAACATTTACAATGAAAACAAAAATCAAACATATTCTTTTGCGCTGTTCCGAAAACACTAAAAGCATTACCTCTTGAAAATTTACAAAAAAATGTTCGTTTGATTGGATTGCACTTTCATCGGGCACGTGCAGACGATTTCCGTCTCCAAAATGGAATTTTCAATTTAAAGTTATGTCTTAAGAAATTAACAAAATACCTCAACAACAAAAGTTCAAAAACATGTACATCATTTCAATGTAACTGAATTACATACAATACAAATAATAGCTTTAATAACAATTTACAGCTCATTAATCCGGTCCGCATTCAATGATTTCAGAGAAAGTACATATAACATGGAATCATTGGCCCAGAGTATTAAATATAATTATATACAAAACAAAGAAAGAAATCATTTACATTTTAAATGCTACGGACAAACACGTAGTGATTTGCCTCAACAACGTGTACAAAGACGGGTCAGCTCAAAATAATCTTTCTGAAATTGAAATCCTGTTAAAACAATGGAAGGTTAAACATTTAGGGCATAGCAAGTTCATTATACTTAGTGATATGGACTAAAAAAGTGTAATTATTAAAAGCGCGCATCCTACCTTGTTCATTGGCATCTTTCATCCATTTTTCAACGGAATCTTTAGCGTCAGGCAGTAAGGTTCTCTTCAAACTGTTGTCAAGCTCATGTTTCTTGCTTGCCATCTTTAATATACGTTCTATCACCTTCTTATCAGCTTTATCCGCGTACTTCATCCATTCTTCCGCCTGTGGTACCGCCTCCGGAAGTAAAGCCGAGTTCAAACGAACGTCCGGTCGCTGAAACAGAACAAATGTCAAAACCTTTGAATACATTAAGGTAGTTAAATTTTATGCATTTTCTTGTGAAGTGATACCATCATATTTCCTTTCTTTAAGCCTTTTTACCACGTGTCCACCATGTTACTTTTAAAATTATTCGTTTTATATTTTCTTTGTGACAGTTTGGATATTTGGCTATAAGGGGAATACTATCATTTAAACATTTTTGTTTTAACAGGAAAATGTTATTTCTGGACTTGCTTCAACACAAACATTTAATTAACATACTTCCGGTGCAGCACTGCTTTTCTTTCTTGTGTCTACGAACATGGTCTTTGACCTTTGCGGGGTCATCGGTGCGGGCATCTGCATTGGCCGTGCAGATTTAGGTGCTCTACTTTGTGCTGAGCTCATTTTCTGTAGTCCATTCCTTGATTCTACCCTCGGGGAAGGCGTGGCCTTGATCTTGATATTTGGTACTACAGAGAAAATGGAAGAAAATATTTTATACAGTATAACTTACTAGATGAGTGGCGAATTAAGGCACATTTAGATTGTATATTCAATATAACAAATGATTGGTTTAAAAAAATAAGCAACAAAAATATGTTAGCAATGTCTCGACAATGCTGTATACAGGCTTCGAATCTGGGTTGTCACGGCCATGAGGTGGAGTTCTGTCTAATGTCGGTATACAAACAACAGTGAAAAAGCTTTGTTTACAACTGTTTTAAAGTTGACATAATTTCATTTCAGACAAAACAGCAAACCACTGTATTTAACTCATTAACGCATGAGCATTTTGTGAAAAATGGCCGTTTTCATTCAAAAGTCTCCCGTTACAAGTTCAAGTTGCTATAAAACTATAAAAACTGCTTCAATACTAATCAAACTTGGCACAAATGTTGAATGGACCATTGCCTTTGTGTCTTAAATATTTCCTGTTACCATGGCAACGCGGGGACATTTCAAAATTGCCAAAAATCACTATTTTGCGTTGATTTTTTCAATCAAAATTGATTTCAAAGTGCTGCAACTTCACAATGGATTGAGATAGAGTCAAATGCTTTTCAGCGTTGGTTACACGTTACATTATGATCGACTTGGGGTCATTTTTAGCCTCCCACAAGTCCAAAATTTTCTTAGTAATGAGGGTTGGCTGTCGCCTGTATCTATAGGATAGTGGATGGCGCCGAAAAAGTGGTCACTTTCTTAAACAACATTTCTCAAACAAAAACAAGTGTTGGGGCCTAAATAAGGCATTTTTTCACCATTTGAGACAACAAAAAGGGGAGGGGGGGTTAACAAGGCGTAAAATTATTATATCTATGAAACGATAAGGGACAATATGCCCTTGAAGATAAACTTTCAAGAGAAATTCTCCGACATTTTATATCATATTCCTGGAAAACAATCTGCGGGAGGTTCCGATTGTAAATGCATTTTCGAAGCATGAGCAGCATTGACGCTTATTGAATTCAAAAAGAAGCTTTTCCGAGTAAATAAATAATATGTTGTGTCAGCTACTGAAAATATTATATGCTGTCATATAATCAATACTTCTCTTATTGTACTTTTGTTCCTTCTTGATATATTTAGAATAATAAGCGTACATTTACGGTCAATACATCGACAACTTTAATCAGTTAAAGTGACAATATGGATAAATAATCTTGATCTTCTATTAAAAAAGAGCAGATACTACATTCTGGTTTCTTTTACAGGCTAACAGTCACTTTAAAACTGTGGATTAACAATGTAACAAACAACCTTTACATTACCACACTATAGAAACGATATCACTGTATCTTGTAAATGTCTTGCGAGCCTATAAGCATATATATATTTGTGTATTTTAACTTGAACCTTTTTATGATAACAGGAAGTTGACTTGTTTATACATGTATAGCAAAGGAAACCACGTTATAAAGTCGCTGAGGCAAGTTATCAATGAACTTTTTTGCCGAAAAAAATGAGGTTAAATTCTTAAAATCTTGAATATTTCTTTAAGCTGTCAGCATGCTTGACTTATGAGCCTGCTGATAATCATAAAACCAACGGCGTGTCATGACATACCAACACCTAATCACACTTCCGGCACAGCAACACAGATGAATGTTCAAAACTTACATGACATTTCTCGTGACATTCTTGTTAAAGATGGTCCCGGTTTTTGTCTTGCTGATGCAGGTGCCGCCGGCAATGGTGTGCCGGGAACCTTCGCCGGTGTCGGCGGCGGGATTGATGGTGTATGAACAGTTGCTAAGACATACAAAAAGCAATAATGTTACAGCAAACTACGGTTAATAAGAAGCAACAATGTTAAAAGGAACATATATAAATGACATTTAGAGATCAATACCACAATTTTCATGGAATCCCTTTACCAAAACATATATGACAATTAAACAGGCGTTATAAGTCTACAACTAACTGCACTGGCTGAAACAAGCATAGTGTTAGAATTTTGACACTTATTCTATTTCATTTATTTATAGCACCGATATGAATTATTGCAAATGACAAAAGGTACAAAAAGTTTACGCATGACAAACAACACTTACTGACTGACTAACTGACAATGATGGGTCAAGGATGACCTCTGTTACACTTTAACTTGTGATAACTATGAGCATTTTATTTTTGACAAACATTACCATGGCGATATTATACCTACCATCAACTTCTAGTGGTGTGAACGGCTTCCCACCAGGTGGCGCAGATTCTAACATTCTTTCTGGAACCTTCCATCGGTTAAAAATCTGAAAATAAAAAGTAAATTGAAATAAATAAAGGGTCCTAAAATCATGTTTGATAAAGTTTGCTTTTCCTCTTTCTTTTAAAGACACATTAAGGATCAGCTGTGAAAAATGAAAGTGTTTTAGTTATAGATACAGAGCATATTAGATGCTTGTAGCGTGAATACGGGTTTCCAGTACTAATGAAATGAGAAATAATATATCATAAAACGTAAACAATGTGGTATTTTTTTTCCAGTACAAAAATGGTAAACCACTATAACTTTGCTAATGGCCAAAAAGTAACAGAAGGTTCAATAATATGGCCAAAAAGTACAGTTTGGAAATCGTAAAAAAGCAACACTTGAAATATAAAAAAAAACAAATTAGAATTTCAGGGATTTAATGAGCCTTTAAAGAACAATTTGCCTGTTTCTGTTTTGTTTGACAACGAACCTGTATACATGCACCATGTCTTTGAAAATAATAAAATAAAAGCATAATGGAAACAGTAAATATTAAAGACATTTGGATTTGTAAAGGTCTTATACCACCGAGATTCAAATATAACTGATTTAAAAAAAATGCATTTTAAAAGGTTAAGTATCAAACCTATCTTGTTACGAAGCAATCTAGGTTTGAAAAAATACATTATGATCGTTTTGTAAATTGCAATTGATATATGGCGGAGTTTAATATATTTAATACGCTCAATTCAATACTTAAAAATCCGTTGGTATTTAAATATATATACACCTGCATTAATAAAAGGAATTAAATATAAATGACGATCTCATATATATTGAATATATTGCCAAATTTATCAATAAACCCTTGTGTACATTTAAATTAAATCGGTATAGTTTATGCCCATTGAATTTGTCGTCTGCGCAATGAATGAAAAAGTATTTGTCAATATTAGTAATAATTGAAGAAAAACATTTGAAGGTATGAAACTTGTCTGTTGTATTGAAAGTTTGGGATGTCGAATATTATATTACTTTGATAGAATTTAGTTTAGAATACACGGCTTATTTTAGCTCAATTAATTTTTGAGTTTATTTGGTTTAAATTGATTAAAACAAACAAACAATGTCTTAACAAACCAAAATTTGTAGTTTAGCAACTACTATGCTGTTTACAATTAACTTATGACAGGTTATATGAACGTATTATTATTAACAGTTGTTTATATAACCATCGTATAGCAGCTGGTATGCCTACATCGCTTACAATATTACCGTATATAAACGGCTAGGGTTATATTTACGAACAGCCGTTTATATAGGGCCATATAACCTGTCAACAATCTTTATAACTAATAATATAACATGTTCATCATCTTTATAACTAAATAAATTGTCTTATTCAACAACTACAATGCTACGAATTCTACATTGATAAACCAACTATATTTGAATCCAGTTTTCGAAACTGCATGGAAATTATCGTACATGTTCTAAGGTACATCGACTTTTCCACGGGCATACTTAAAATGCACTCGTGTATTTTGAAAAACATTCTTGTTCATTTACAATAAATAATTGTGTTACCATAAGAACTTATAGAAATAAATACTTCAGGCTTTATCAACTATTTACACTGAAACATAATTAGCCCGAACAGTTTCACTATAATGCTCCACTCTTTAAAGAGACATGTATTATTTCATGTATTTTTTAGAAACCTTAAAATCTAGATAAAATCCGGCACTATCTTTGTGTTTTAAGGTTCACAACGGCGTCAACCGGCCCTAAATACGTACATAATATTATCAGACATCACTTACATTTTGAAAACAAACATTTGAAACAACTTCTTAAATAACTTAATAAGAATGTCAAATATATCTTAACTTTACTGATATGGGTATTGAGCAGTAAGTAAATATGGATTAGGCAGGTGGAAAAATATGTCACTTCACCACTGTCAATATTTGATATGAATTTTGCACCCCATTTAATGCGGCGTTACACGAAATAGAGCAATACTTATCCAGTATTTTTAAAGATAATGCATTGTGTTACATTGAGAAGTATATATAAATATCACAAACTCATTGTATCAGCGTTCTGTAGATTATAATATGAAACATAAACTGTTAAATAATGCCGGAACAGCATTTGTTACATAGTCAAAAGCCATGGTCAGGATTCGAACTTGGGCCGACGCGGTGACATAACGAATAAGGTCTGAATGGCGATTTGGAGGAGTGGTTAACGCGCCGAATCTGAGCATCACTGGCTGCGTAGGTTCAAAACCCAATGGCAACCCGTTTATTGCTAAAGCAAGGAATTTTGCACGTATTGCTCGGTACTGGCTGGTTCAAAGGAACAGAACAAGAGAGTGCCTATAAGCTCTTAGCTTCCTAAATATTCGAGCTAAAATAAATCATGTATGAACTATAAACCTATACATGTACGAAGTTCTAAGCACTTTATATGACAATATGGCTAACTGCTGAACCCTGTGTTGTCATAACTCTACATGTTTTGGCCAAATCAATTTTGCCCCTGTCTCCAATAACCATCTATTTCACGATATAAATGTAATATGGTAATAAACTATTATAAAATGATGATGTTGACAATATCATATTTTATTTCTAAAATGATTTCAGCTAAATCTTATAACAATGACCTTTTTAGAAATAGTTGTCCATGCTTAACAATGCCCATGCAAAAATAAGCAAATAAGCAAGTCTTGAACAAACCTATTTTTGAATGTTTATATTTTCAGCAAACATTCACATTTGGTGGCATTATAACATAGGAAACTGTATTTATCAACTACTTGTAAAATACTTATATGAAGGTGTGTATCAAATTTCGAACGATCACCACTATTCAATTTCTTATAATGGTTGTTGCTTATAGGTTCCTTATAAACAAATAATGGTATTTTTCTTCCAAAGAAGTTTCAAATTTTCACATATTTTGTAAGCTATAATGATCATTTTTACATAACCTTGGTTTCATAGATATAACGCCATGGTGATCAGGAATATTGATTACGTTATAATCATTTCCCATTAATATTAATAATACATCAATATAAAATCAATTAATATCTATTGTTTATTGAAAAAAGATAATGCATACATACGCTTTCCTGTTTAGAAAATCCTCTTAACGCGTAAAACTGTTCAAAAATCGGTGAATCCGACATACTGGTTTTAAAATGAGATAAGTATATGTTCAGGTTTGTTTATAAAAATAATCTTTTCAACAATTTCGTGTTTGAGACGACACTAATACATTAAATTGTAAAACCAATACAGCACTTTAAAGGTATTTTTCATGACAAGACGATTGAATGAAAATAAAAGAAACCATCACAAAAGTAGAGTATATCTATACAAGATAGGGTTGGTTTTATGTCAGAGTTATGACCGGTTTATCACGCACTAAATCTAATTGAATTTGCAATGTTTGTTTATTATACGTTTTTATGGACGAATTAAAGAAAGAATCGTTGGTAATTGGATATATAGAAAATATAGAAATGTAGGAATATCGAATATTAATCTTTAAGGATAGATTATAGTCGATCTTTATCGTGACGTTTATATAATCAAAATACAAGATTGTTGTACAATTATGACGTCATTTTCAATTCTCCTTGAATAAAAGAATTGTGTTGTATTACAACATTTCAACATAATTTTTTTTGCGTTATTTGGCCATGTATAAATGGGTGTTTACAATCTAACCCTCGTGTTATATAATTGGTCATATTACCTATAAAACTATCTATAACGAATAATACACGTGTAGTGCGAAACGCGGTAGATAAAACGTATATGTCAGCTTTGCGATAGTAATGAAATTACGGAAGAGTATACTGACCCCCCTTATATATTTTTTATGCCTTCAAGAAAAAAAAACTTTGTATAATACATATCTTTAAAAAAGTGACAAGTTATATGATATCTGAAATAAATCTTGCACAGTTTTATCTGTTATTATACACCATAAATCACAAATATGCATTGTTTCTTCGATGATATTTGGAAATTTAAGAGAAGAGAATGTTCTTCTTAACATACATTAGTTGTACACTTTAGCCTTTATCATATGAATCTCATGAATTCATAAATTAAATTAGATTCTCTTGGTATAATAAGTCGCATCTATTATTATAATATTAAATGGCCCTTTTCTCGTTTTGATATTTAAAAAAACATGTATAATCATTGAAAAAGATGTAAAAAATATTTATAGTATAAGTTTCAATACCATTTATATAATAATAATATATATATCAGCTAAATTATAATATTTTATATAATACTGGCAAGATACTCGTATACCGCAAGCGTGTTATCATAACGATCAACTTATGTTAGGAAACATATAAAACATCACCTAAGCTAAAAACTCAGGTAAAGAATATATATATTATATATGATTATATCATCTCTATATCTGTCAAACAAATAATGCCTCGAAAACATACTGTTTTCAAATGAATAAAAGCGTTTACATCAAGAAAACGTCTGCTTCTTGAGGTAGAATTTCAATGAAAAGAAGAAAAAAACATAATTCTTATAAATTAAAGTAAGGTCTTCAGAAAGACTTAAGTTTATAATACGTATCTTTAACAGTATAGTAACCAAAAAACAGGAAAGATCAATATGAACTATATATATAAATTTAAAAAAAACATTACGAACTATGTTGTTATCATGTATCGTCGTATTTTAAACAGGCATATAAAATATGTAAGGGGGGTCAGTATACTCTTCCGTATGAAATAGAGGATGAATTCCATTTTATATGTGTTTGTAATAGTTACTCTAATATACGTTCTCTTTACATTAAGCAATACTACTACAGAAGACCAAGTATGTTCAAATTGATTGAATTATTAAGTACTGAAAAGAAGTCTGAATTAATAGGTTTAGGTAAATATTGTTATTATGCTACAAAACATCGAATTGAACTACTAAATGCTCTGTAAATCAATGTATAAATTTGTCTCTTTATATTTAAAAGTGATATTGTTATTTCTTGAAATAACTTGATAATGTGTCTAGTATGAAACATTGTTAAATGGAATCTTATCACAGCATATGATTAAGTTTAAAATCCATTATTTTTATATCTTAAAGAATGTAAACGCTTTATAATAGATAAGCTCACTTTAGTACTAAATGGTGTTAACGTTCATTCTCCAAAAATATGTAAATTGAAAATTTGTGCTATAACTTTGTTCATGTACCATGATATTGTGTTTGATTGTACTATATAAATGTGTGTAATATGACTATGTACTGAATGTATACGTCAATAAATTATCTATCTATCTATATATATTTATCCGGCTGCATTTTAAATCTTTAAAAAGTATTTCCGTGGAGTAAACTTGATTTGTTATATCTTGTAATAAAATAAATCGTATTAACTAAAGTTAGTTATCAAATATAGATATTGCATATTGTGCTCTTTATCTCAATTGTTTAAGGCTTAAGAACTAAATTCCACGTTCGCGTTATCATAATAGGTTTTGTCAATGAATAAAAGAAGTGTTTAAACACACAAAATAGTAATAGAATGTTGATTTTTTATAATCCGTAGTATTCAATTTACATGTTTGCCCTGTAAATGTGTATATTTTATATATTATGTACAACATGAAAAAGTATACATGTAAGATCCAGTTTTACAGATTGTGTATCAATTTACCTGAGTAGAAATGTATCATTAAAGAAATAACTAAAAAATATGGCTAATACATACATATTTCAGTTTTTATAGTATTAACGCAAGTCAAGCTTTATTTTTAAATAATTCATTTCCTGCCGCCATTACGTATATAACATTTTACTCTCCACAAAAAGTTTCATTCATGTGACCTCAAATCTATTTTCATATCTTTTTATAATACACTCATTGATAACTAATCAAATGTAACATTTTCTAAATATGGTTTACACATTTCGTTTCAGAATTGGTATTGAAATCAAGCATTGATTGATTTATCTGACTCATATAGAAAATGTGGCAGCCTTCAAGATAGTATTACAGCAAAAAGACGCTGTTAATAAATTTGATATCACTTGTAATTACACGATTTCGTTTGGTCACTTCGCTTTCTTTTTTCTTAGTCTCTTGAGAAAGAAGATTTCACTCAACAGTTTCAGTCATTTTCTATATTATATAGAGAATTAAGTAAAACATACCTGGTTTCTAGGAGATAACATTATATCCTCTACTGTCTCCTTCTTCCGCGCAAACCCCTGAAAATACATCAAATTACATGTATATAAAACACCGTCACTGTATAAAAAACACCCTTCAAATGACCATCTAGTAATGATAAACTTGTGTATTTATTCTTTAAAGATGTACTATAAATCTACTTAATCCCTGTCTTATGTAGAAGATTACGTTTGTTATACTTAATCTTATCTAATTGTTAAAGGACTCTTTTGTAATAATACTCGACATTTTTCTTACAGTTACGAGTTGTTGCTCGCAATATCGACATTTCCCGTGCAATTACGATATACTGCTCGCAGTATCGACATTTTCCGTGTAAAAACGAAGTGTTGCTCGGAGTATGGAAAGCCATGGAGTATCGACATTTTTGACTGTTGTCAACGCTCCTAACAACCGCATTGCACACAGTTTCTCGATTGCTGCGTATATTTTCAAAAATACAAATACACTGTACACGCTTGATACATGTAAACAACAGAGCTATCTCTTTCTATCGCTACTTCCGAGCTAGGGCATGTCGCCGACTTTTAAAGTGTCAACAAAGGTACAATATGTTGTTTTATTACATTTTTGTGAACTTTGCATCGAATATCAAAAATTGAAGAATGCTATACCATGTAGATTTGATTCAACTTTCCGGGAAAAGTTTGTTGACGAATTTATGTTTGAATTGAAGTTGTAGCAGCGTTTCTTAGTTAGCAAATTTTGTGTCCTCATATTTCCATTTTAAACAGCAATCCAAATTAAAAACAAATACATCTCTCTAAATGCAATTAAAAGTTTTAATCAAGACCAAAAAAAAAGTTTATTAAAGTAAATTTATTATATTAAATCTGCGAGACAGTTCTGTCGTGAAGGAGTAGCCATGTTGCCAAGGAGAAATCTCGAAAGTTATGGACTGTATGTTTATTAACGGAAGTATTCTTTGTGACGGTTTAAACTGGCGGGCAATCAAAATCTTTAATAATAATGTACAAGTTTGACAATTTAAAAAAAAATGAAATATGAAATTTCATTCTGTATTTTGATATGTAAGACACATTGCATATCTTATAACTCATTCTGAAGTTGTGACATGTTACATAAAAAATATATACCACTTTGTTTATGATGTAAGTTAACTCTGAAGCAGGGATAATTCCTAATCTAAAATAATCATAACCAAATATGGTCTGAATCTTGACACACTTAAAGGGTTACTTTGTTATAAAACAATGTTTTGAAAGAAAGCTAAATTATGTCAATCAAAATTTAATAAATACACATCTTTATATCTAAACACTTAAGATAAATAAATACTTACAAATCCTATATCTGCCATTTTGTTAAAAACGTAAATTGTAATATCCTATGTGAAATTATACACCATATTTTCTACATCCAAATATTACAATAAAAAATCATATTTAATTCTGTTTCATTAATCATAATCTATACCGCTTTTAACAGATTGGAAGTCAGATTGTTTGAGTTTGACATTTTCAATACATTTGCCTTTTACAATTATTATATGAAATATTGATTTCTGTTCCAAATGCAATCGAAATAAACACAAAGATAACGCTTTCCTCGTTTTAAAGCAGTCAAATCGTAAACTGTTTACTGTTTAAAGTACTGATTGAAAGCGAGTTTAAAGATTATTTAATATTTTTTAGTTCTTACTCGAAACAACATTTCCCTCAGTGAAAAGTTTTAAAAGGACCTCAATTTTACTTTTTGTTCCTAACCCTTACATCGACATTGTTGGGGATGTAATTCTGCTGTACATAGTTTTTAGTATGGCTATAGGCGTATTTGAAACAAATTTAACCAATAGTAAGATTTGTTTTATGAAATGCGTATATGATATTTTCATTCTTTTTTTTTTAATTATCAAATTCATATTTGAGCACATATTATTTGAAGCAGAATGAAAAAACGACAACATAAGAATGAGTAAGATTTATCGCCTATAAGACTTCTTTTTAACTTCAAAAATACGAAATAAAATACGAATAAAATTTAAAAATGAAAACACATTAATACAAAGTAAAATGCTTATTTAATAATTCAAAATATCGGCGTGTAATATTTGAAGTTCAGGAACTAACGAAAGCTTATAAAAATACATGTAGTTATTTCATTTACAGATATTTTCCAATTATGACTCTGGCATTCCGTAATGAAATAACACAGTGTCTTTATGTATACATGTTTACAGGGTCTCATCTTTCAAAATGTTTTTTTTTAAATGTGCTGATTTTCAATAAATGAATAAGTTAGCACTTACTGACTGTGCCTCTTTAAATAATATAAAACCAAGGCACTTTACAAAAACACAGATCGACAGACGATATTGAATTTTAAACCAACCTTTTTCACTACAAATAAGCACAGAAAAAAACACAATAAAAGGAGTTAAATAAACAAAGGACTAATATAAAATAAACAAATACCAGTATGCAGACCATGTAGAAGTAAGCAGGTAGTCTTTTTAAATGTATCAAATGTATAAACGACTGCATTTACATTGATTTGACATTAAACTTTCGACTTAACACATTAGTTTTTAAAAAAAGGTAGATCTACTGATCAATTAAATATTTTATCAATGCAGTTCAAAACTCTAGACAACTGGTATATTCAATACAGATTGCACACAAGTAAAGACGTAATATTGCACTGTGAGTACAACGTTTACTTGTTATATTCAATATATTATTTTTAAGTGTTTAAAACAAATATCATGATCAGAAAATCATTATCTATATTAAGAAGACCAGAACTATTTTTATTGTATATCTTTTTCCATATTTAGGGAAAAAATATCTGATATATAATTATGTTATCAAAGCAATGAATTTTATTGTTCAATGCAAAGAGAGGAAACCTTCAATAAGTGGTAAGTAGTAACCAGGCCCAGGAGTTTTTAACAAGTATTGTCAGAAATAGACAGCCTACATGGAAAGAACGATTTTTTTAAATCAACGTTCGAATATGCAGAACATAATAATACATTTCAACCACATGTTCTGTTTCATATTTAAGCAAAGGCTAAAAAAGGTAAAACATTTTTAAAGCTTTGTTATTCTAAATTAACTTTGGATTCTACAGTAAGGTAAATGTTACCTAAGTATTCTTGTTATATAATTATATATGCTTAACATAGTGTTTTATTGTTGTTCTACCGGAAAGGGCCATTTCTCAGTTATATTCTTTGTCGGACAAAAGGTCCGCCTCTGCCGGACGGGACAACTGCATTACCTCCGAACGAAATAAAGCATCAGCAGGGGCAGATATGGGCAACCAAAATTTTGGAATGAAATAAATAAATCAATCAATCAAATTTGGGCATTCATGCCAGACTTTCGTCTTATTCTGAAGGTGGCCTTTTGCTAAGATTTGATAGTATAAAGAAGATAAAATGTAACTCTTTTTCGTCAGCAGTTCGACAAAACAGCCTAATTGTTAAATATTTTATGTTAAAACTAATTTTTATCAAAGAAACGTAAGATTTGTTGTAAAACATTAAACCGTTCATTGTAATCTCGATTTAAATATTGCATTTAGTTATTTCCGACCTTGAGAGTAACTAATGACGTCATGGTACGGCACACGTGAAAAGAAATTAGATCATTTAAAACAATGCTTTTATATTTAAACTATTCCTTTTGTCTTACTGTCTAACAAAATAAATCGATATATTTGTAACAATGAACATAAATGTGAACTAATTCGTTACATTTTGTTATCTGATTTCACGTAGACAACTAAAGTTCACTCAGTATTAAAAAAATGTTTAAGAAACAAAAAAGCAACCAAGTGATTTCATTTAAGAAATCAAACAAACAATAAAACAAACAAGAAACAACAAGAAAAACAAACAAAATCAAAACAAGTGATTTCAATAAAGCTATAGATTACACCTGGAATTTTGTTACAAAAACATCAACACGGCAGGGGCAATAACTTTTATACCATTTAGATAATGAAGAGCACTAGTTTTAAGTAAAAACAAATTGTACCCTGAATATTCATTCTGATCAACTTAAATTACTTGAATTATTTCTGACTGATAGAAATGTGTGAATGTTTTCATAAAAATCATGCAGGGGCAATAACTCTGACGAAAATAGGCACACATTTAAACTTTTAACATGACCAAAAATTTTTATTTCCATACAATACAACAAACATTTTAATTGATATATTAAGAGTATCACAAATGAACAAGAATAACATCTAAAAACAGTATAATTAAGTAAATAAATGTTAAAGATATATACGTTACCATGTAAACTGGCGGTGTGACCGGGGGAAATTTCGGAATTTTTGGATCATATTCATTTTCCGATCTCAGTTCGTATGGAAGAACCATT